ATGCTTGTGCTCTTTGTGCTGTTGTGTCGTTCTGGACGTTGTGTCTCCGGTGCACAAACTTCTTCCTTCCGTGAAGGATAACAAGCCCCTTGTTCTTTTGCAGATAACGCAACATGATCTCAACAGAGCTGGACTGAAATAGTATTTTCCTAATACGATTTTCCTTAGCTTCAACTGCTAACACGACCGTAATCGTTTGCATTTTACTGTAATACTCACGCACAATGTAATATTCTACACAGAATTTAGCTCATCACAATTCCTATCACGACTTGATAATGCAGCTTTGAACAGACATTTTACTACTATTATAGTTTGACATAGAAATGCTGCTACAGAAACAGGCATAAAATAGCCTGCGCTGAGCAACCACCCGCAGAGTTTTGCAAATCCAGACGGCAGAAGTTCCAGCAGTTCTGGAAGCAGATCTTGCCTCTCAACGGATGGAGACAGAGATAAGCGAGATCACTTCACCGGGTAGATTAACCTGCTGCTTTGTTTTTTAGGAAAGATTTGAAAAAAGCTTCTCAGAAGATCTGTCAAAAGTATTCCGAGAGGTTACAACAGGTGGAAATGCAGATTTCCATCATTTTATTGCCTGCAAGTAGAACAGGTTTGTCTCATGGAAAAGTCCTATTAAAATCATATTCCTCGATAAATTTCTATTACATATTTTCATCATGGTTGGAAGTAAAACAAGCTGTCATGTTTTTAAATTCAATAGGAACAACTTAATTTTTGGCAAGTTCCTTGACCGTAAGGAGTTATATCAGACAGAACTTCTCCGAGTCCAGGGACTCTTGCTTTTCTTTGTGGTGGGAAGACTTGCAAAGTAGCCGCTAAGAGCAAACCTGGCGAGCTTTGGATCGTGTACAAGAACACTTCCTATCCTAATACAGTTCAGTCACGCCGTCAAAGGTACGCAGTAAGCTGTAGCCTGGGACCACAAGAGCAAAGCACGAGACGCAGCTTGCTGGCCGCAGCCGGGGTCGGGTGGCCTGAGGAGCAACACCCAGAGCTGCAAACCGTAGCTCTTCTCCTTCACACGTTCTCTGCCGTTCGCTGTACCGGTAGAACTTGTTATAGAGCCCGTGCCAGTGTTTACAGATAAATAAATAAATAAATACGTCGTATACACAGCACGCGTTTAAAAATTCTCGATATAGCCGGTATCTCGGATTATAGATTTAATGTGTTTAAGAAACACAGGATCTGCGCCTCTGAGGTTTCAGCATAAGCAAGACAGTTGTTCGAGGTCCCTGCCTTTGGAATTTGCTCCTTCTGGCACTCTGACAGAGAGCACTTTGTTGGCCTTCAGAACATACTGCCAAGCCAATCCTTCCCATCAGGATTTGGCTGCATAGCTCCAAACAAAGACTTATTTTCCTAATCATTGATTTGTTTTCTGATGGATAGCTAATGGGAATAGTACTGACCATTGCGGGCATTTATAAATTGAAATTACGTATTTTTTTACGTATGATGCACCCGATGCCACAGTACTGGGTAGATTATAAATAATTTTTAAAACCCCATGCAGATAATAAGGGAATTCAAAACACGGCACATCTGTAGCCGTACTATCGACTGTAAACTGTTCATTTAAAAGCAGAAGTAGCAAAACACACAAATTACTCTCTGATATTTGTATTACTTTGGTTTCTAAGACCACACATACATCTGCACATAGTTGATTCGGGATAAATTACTGGCTCTGCATTTTATGTGACCGGCAGAAATACGCAGTATCCCCCTGCCCCGCGAATGAACGGACTGTACTTCTCAAGATTAGGAAATAATTTCTCGGGTTAGAAAAGGAGAAGACTGTTCAAAGATGGAAGGGACAGCTTGTTTTAACAGGTTGGTTTTATTCTTAGGAAAACAACCTAGCTAAAAATCAACCACACATGAGGCGATACCTGTTTTAAATACTATAGATCTGTTTCCTGATTTTCCCCTAAAGCTGGGAAGATTAATGGGTGTTTGCAAATAGTATCTTCTGTAGGAATTCAGATCCCCTTCGTCTGTCCGAAACTGGTGGATAATATGACAAGGCAAATTTTACGGAGGCAAGAGTCTGATTAACTGAGAGGAAAACTAAAAATATTGCAAATATTCTGAAGGGATGTCTCTGATTTTGGTCAACTGCATTCCATAATTTAAGGATAGGATACGGAAAAGAAGATTAATGTTGAATAACATCCTGTGGCCATTAGGAAAGGCTGAATTCTTCAGTAACCTAAACTAAGTAGAAGCCTAATAGAAGTTCAGCAGCTAGCCAGCAAATATTATCTTTGGATTCATCCAAAGCTTTTTTGTTGACGAGGAAAAAACCCTTTTCATGGACATGGCAAGTGACAGCAATGACAGAGGAATTTAGGAACTTTCTTAAAATGTTCCTTGTGTCCTATTTTCATTCTGGACTTATGTAGGCAGTTTTTGATGTACACACAACAATCGGTTTCTTTGAATGACACCAGTAACCATTAATATTTCTCCTCCCTTTTCTTAAGACGCAGGGAAGCATGCCTCCCCAAGACCTTGCATTTCGTCCCCAAAATGTGAACTATCAAATGCTCTAAATGACTGTGAATCTATTAATGTTACAATAAGGTCTAGTACTGCTTTAAATTTTGATGTATGCCAACTTGTATGCTCTGGGCAACTCTAAATTTGACTCTCTGCTTCATTTTAATAGATGGCTAATTTACTAATCCTAGAAGAAACTGTATTTTGGCATAAGGTGATTTATTTTTTTCCCTCCCTTTTCTTTCTTTCTCAGTGCCCGTTACAATGGACTTGAGTTCTGCTGGATGGAAACTTCTCCATTGTATGTGGTTCCGTGGTTGAAACAATTTTGTGCTTAGTTTCAAGTGGATGTAATATAAATAGAAGCCACACCACTTTTTTATGTGGGATGATATATTTTTATAACTTAAAGCATGATGATATATTTGAAGAACAAATTAGTCATTCTGCCTCAAGAACTAGTCTGTCTGAGGTATGCCACAAAATTGTTTTCAAATTGTTTACCTGGTGTGGAGCCTACTGGGAGTAAAAATAGATTCTTGATTTAGGCTTGGTAATTCCTGTATTACAGTTTGGCTTATTCTGTTGCTTAACTGATTGCCACGGAGCTGTGCTGGTACGGAGCAGCAAAACAGTCCTTAATAGTTTATGTCAGAATGTATTGTCACGGCTTATTCCTTCAGTATATTAAAAGGAGTACATGAAAGTTGTAGCTGATAGTGCTGCTCTTGAAGCCGAGCTATGAAGAAATAGAAGACGCTACTGAGCAGTTACATAGCACTTTTCAAAGAATCGCACATGGTTTGGGTTAGAACAGACCTTTTAAAGGTCATCTGGTCTGACCCCTCCTGCCATGGGCAGGAACATCTTTCACTAGATCAGGTTGTTCAAAGCCCCATCCAACCTGACCTTGAACACTTCCAGTGATGGGGCATCCACAACTTTTCCAGACGACCTGTTCCAGTGTCTTACCACACTCATCATAAAGAATTTCTTCCTTGTATCTAGTCTGAATCTGCCCTCTTTTAGTTTAAAACCATCACCCCTTGTCCTGTTGCAACAGGCCCTGCTAAAAAGCCTGTCCCCGTCTTTCTTCTAAGGCCGCTCTCACCCCGGCAGCTGCAGGAAGGTCTCCCCGGAGCCTTCTCTGCTCCAGGCTGAGCCCCCCCAGCTCTCCCAGCCTGTCCTCCCAGCAGAGCTGTTCCAGCCCTCGGAGCGTTGCTGGGGCCTCCTCTGGCCCCGCTCCAGCAGGTCCGTGTCTTTCTTGTACTGGGCACCCCACAACTGGATGCAGTACTCTAGGTAAGGTCTCACGAAAGCGGAGCGGAGGGGCAGAATCGCCTCTCTTGACCTGCTGGCCATGCTTTTTATGCAGCCCAGGGTACGGCTGCCATCTGGGCTGCAAGAGCACATTGCCGGCACACATCCAATTTTCATCCACTCGTATCCCAAAGTCCTGCCTGCAGGGCAGCTCTCAAGCAGTCTGTACCGATACTGGGGGACTGCCGGGGCCCAAGTGCGGGACCCCGACATCCAGGTCCCTCTGGATGGCATCCCGTCCCTCAGGCACCGCTCAGCTCGGTGTCATCTGCAGGCTGGCTGAGTGTGCACTCAATCCCGCTATGTCACTGATGAAGATATTACAGTGTACTGGTCTCAGTACAGACCCTTGAGGGACACCACTTGTTACTGGTTTCCATTTGGACATTGAACTGTGGACTGTAACTCCGGGCACGGCCATCTGGCCAATTGCTTATCCACCTGAGAGCCCACCCATCAAATCCATCTCTCTCCCATTTAGAGGCAAAACTTTAATGTTCTTAGAACCTTTTACAAAAATACCACGCTCTCAGAAGTTATTTAAAGAATTAATAAAATAGAACTTCACATTTTGTAAGCATGGAAACGGAAACACAAAGATGATTTCCAAAGCCTGAAAGGTATCAAGGCTGGGGCCAGAATTCTGCATCTCCAGCCTAACTATCAGGCCATGTAAGAGAAAGTAAGTGAGACACATCCATTTGCAACCTTTGGACACAAGTTTTCTAGTATGCTAAAACATATTTCAGGAGTTCCCTCGATTTGAAAGGTATTTTAATGAATTGCAGCACATAAAAAATGATTATTGTGTAATTCATTTCTCACAAGAACAACAAGAACTGTCATCCTCTCTGACACCCTCAGGGCAAAGACACTGTCTATGACAGTGCTGCTTATGATTTCCACGACATTTTACAGAGCTGTAACTGAAAGGAAACAATACAAAGCCTGTATCAGTTATCAGTTTACTGGTAGAACCACACCAACACTTGGACTACTTGAATATACCTGGCGATAATCTCATTTAAATATGAAAAGCCTATAATACATGTTCTTGAATTCTTGTAGCTCAGGGTACGTCTGCATAGTTCCCCAGTCAAATCCTTTGAGGAAAACGTTGAGCTTAAAATTATAGACTAAGATTCTCTATTTTACAAGCAACGGTTTCCTACCTGAGGCTGCTGAGTGGCAGTGGGTCTCTGAGGAGATGGTATAGGAGTTTTGGACAACATTTGGTTCATTTTGCTTACGACTAGATCAGTTATATGTTGCCTGTCTTCAGTCTGATGCTCACCGATCAGAGGCATTGCACAGTCCATGACCTGTAAAATAAAACAATTCATCAGCTGTTGATACGGCACCAAAGTAAACTTACTCCACGTCTGGGTAGAATGTCAGGTCATCTATTTGCTTAATTGTTTTTAGCAAAAGTCAAGCAAGATCTGTAGAAATGGTACATGTTATACATACATATATATATGTATATATATATACTGCCGAAAATCTGAAGTAGTTGTCTACGCTTCTGACTGAGCCACATTTCTGATGATTTCCTCATGTGTTTTTGTGGCTCATACCATGTTCACCAGCTGAATTAGAATATGGAAATGCAAATTAAAACGTCGGCTCCCTAGCTATTTGTTGGGTTTCTGCTAGGGAAGGCTGGATCCTTATTGATTAACGAAAAATTTTAAATAAGACCTTCTTACTATTGATATGCTTTTTTGAAAAGTGGTGTGGCTGCAGTGCAGCTGATGCAAAAAAGAAGTAAGAATTTCTACAAAGCAAGCAGGATATCAGCGAGGCAAATAAAAATCAGTGTTTCAGTACGTCCAGAAGCGCACCTTCCTGTGCCTCTTCGGCTTCTGCGGTTCCTTCTCTATTGCAGGTAAATGGAACAAGACTGAAACGGTTGAACAGAGTCTAAAATTGCAGGTGGAAGTGCTAGCGGTCAGAGAAGAACCTTAGCTTCCCTCACTCTCACCCAATCGCTAGCCAAATGGCTAGGAAGAGCGCTCCGCTGCTGGGAGGCAGGGCTACTGTGGCCGGAGAGGTTGATTCCCAGCTCTTCAGGTGGGCATTCTGCTGCAGGTTGTTGCCTTGAGCTCCTTTTGTTACTTACCCACATTCTGTACTTGAGAGGAAGATATGGAAATTTTCTGCTAAGACCCGATTCTGCAAATCTTGACAGGGAGGAAGAATTTTGTTATCTGTGGCGGTGGCACAGGGAGCAGAGCCACGGGCGTAAGCTGGTGCATCTGCTTTGTACGGACCCCTCCTGAGAGGGAAGGGGTACAGTGGGGAAAACAAAACTCAATCCATCAACCTACACGGAACACTTTATAGGCAAAAAGCACAGCTTTACCGTCCTTCTTTTAGATATTCAAGTATTAGAAGAGACATCTGCAGTTAAAAGAACAAGCGTGTTTGTTCGAACACTGGAACGTCATCTTTCATCTCGCACAGGAGCTGGGAATGAGCTGCACTGTGACCAGTACCTACGCTTGAGGATTTTCAAAATATGGTTAAGTGCTACCGAAATCCTCCCCGAAGCTGGCAGAGACTACTTTATTCTAATAATGAGATTAGCTTGAAGCCCAAAAGCGTTTACATTATTCTTCCATTTGTTCATTCACCGGGGACACCGGCATGGTGTATTGGCAACCAAAATGGCAGAGCAAATGTTTCCCAAGAAATGGATGAGGGTTCTTCCACTCTTGGGCCACATCAACAGTATTGCAGAAATGCCTAATACTTACACAGAAATATACTTATTTTATATACCTATTTTTAAATGGAGCATAAATGACGTTTTTAACTAATCGAGAGAAAGGTATTGAACCTGTATGAGTTGTTATTTCTGAATGGGTAAAATGTGGTCTTGGCTGGTTGTGTGGCTCTTGATATCCAAAATCTTTGTGGATTTACTTTGGTATTAGTGTCTGCTGAGTTACTGCTATTTCTTAAAATCATTGCAATGCTCAAAGATCCACTTCATTTTATCACGGGCTTTTTCTTGCAAGAGTAATAAGCATAATGCCTGGCGGGAGGAGGCAACCATATGTGCCAGATACTTTGGCCAGGACTTTAAAGCTAGTGATGACTGAACGCTAGAAGGTCTGGCTGACAGTGTGAAGGACATTGGATGTTTGGCTGTCTGCTGCAAAACATCTGATTTCCAGAGAGGGAGGTATGTCTGCAGTCTAAAAACCTGCCCTCTGCCCGCCCCCCCCTCCCCGCCTTGAAGGCAGGCGTTAATGACAGGCATTTTTTAAAACATTGCCCCATTCACTATCAGGTGTAAATTAACCCCCTCTCTTACCCAACAACAGAAGCAACAGTTCTGTTCCACAAGCGTGCGCGGAAAACCTCACTTTGTTTACAATCCACTTACATTAAAAAAATTATTTGGAATGACTACGAAACAAACTGCAGAAAACAAGGTCCTGCCAAAGGATCAGAGAGGATTAAGATCTGGAGGACTGCGTTCTGAAGGAGCTTCCATTTTAAATTCTATAACTGCAAGTTTACATATAAACTTTCTTTAGGAGATACTGCCATGTTGTTTACCAGAACATGTGGGAAAGGTGTAGTTCTCTTGCTAAGGATAAAAAAAGAAGCCTTGAGGTGTTGCTCAAAACTTCAGGTCCACTTCAGTAGAGAAGATTTTGCATTTCTTGAAGACAGTATTTTCCTAGTCACATACTGAGGCAGATTCAAACACAAATGCCGTCGAAAACGATAGCCATTTGCCCTTGACAACCTCTTGTCACGTGGTCAGATTTTGATGTTGTTAACAACCCTGCTGTTTGTTGCCGTACCTGGGCAAGTATTGTTGGCCAAAGATACGGTGAACCTAACGCTGAGGAAGCACCGAGCCAGATGCCCAGTCCTGAGCGACGGTAAGCTTAGAACCCGCTCTGGTGCGTTCCTGCAGTACGAAGATAGCCGGCGCGGTAAAAAGAGAAAGTGAGGCATCAGATTATCACGAAAACTACTGATCCCAAAGCGAAATGCCACTAAAGAGCTGAGCGAGTAAAAGAGTGCCGAGGCTCAAAAGCAGCCGAGGGTGGGTCTTGTCTTCTTTTTTTTTCTTTAAGAAAATGCAGTCGATTTTCCTTCCGAGTAAAATAATTAATCACAGCTGTCAGAAATCAGTAATGTTTTATATTAATGTATCTTAACAATTAAAAATATTTTGGGTAACTCCAACCGTTTTTAAAACCTGCGCATGACTAACAGGAATGTCGTGCTGGCGCTTTAGAGGACTTGACAAAGTTTAAACGTACACAAAGCGTCCTGTTTATAAACAGTCTATTTACAGCCTGTACTAGTTTTAAAATATCATTTAAACACAGCCAGGTTTTCTTTTTCAGTACCTAGTTCGGCTATTTAAAATATTGGAGTTTCCCACTAAGAGGATTTCATAGAAAAAAAACCCACTGTAATTTATAAAGTCAAGTATGTTACTTTCGCAGATGCCAGTAAAAACACGGGTCGCTATGAATTACGGTCACTTCATTTGTGTCACTTCTATCGTTAATTTATAGGCATTTCAGGAACCCATTCTATGGGATGGATTTCTCTTATCGCCCAGAAATTATATTCTGAAATGCACTTAACACGTCTTTATGCTAAACTGTACGAGACCGAGTGTATGTGTCAGCAGTAGTAAGAGAGACTACGGCAGCGCGTCTAAGTCAGCACGACGCTGTGACAAAACAAGCCCCTGACCTGTCACTGACGTGGCCTTTTGGTGAGTATTTTACTCCGTGCCCTCCGCTGCCGGTGTGGGTAAGGCAAGAATTTGAAAGGCGGGCCGCAAGACTGAGACTGGCAAGAAGCAGAAGAGAAATGCCGTTCAGCTCCGACGGGTATGAACGGAGATGGGATGGGATTCATAAAGGAGCCAGCGCCGTTATGAGATCAGTAATTGCAAAGGGATGCTCACGTCTGAAGGAGCAACTGCTCAGACGGCCGTCGCCCAGACGTAGCTCTCCATTCCATAGCACCTCTACCAGCGAAGGATTTGGAAAGATCTCTTGCCTGGGGCTCCATGAAGAGGACTGAGAAGGCAGAGGCCGATGCAGATCTTGATCTACGAGTTCTCAGTCCGGGGAAAGTAACTGACGGTAAGAAAAACCGACAGTGTGCGGGGGTCACTTAAGCCTGGATGGGCCGTAAGAAGGGACGGTGTGATTTCGGAGAAGTGAGGGAGTGCCTGGATATGAAGTCACCACGGGGCTTTCCCTGAGGTCTCTAGAGCAGATGCAGGAATAATTTGGAATCGGAAAGGTAACCACACCTGAGAAGTGGAGGGGGTATGGCACAGCAGAAAATCGGTGGTGACTGTAGGAAATTTTTAGTCCCTCCTGTAGTGGGCGAATAACAACATTTGCAGAAAACGTAAGAACAGCTGGGAAAGTGAATCAGGAGTTCCTGGATGAAGGATGCAATGCCTACAGACAAATTTAAATGGTCTTGTTTTAATCCGGAATGAAAACAAACCAAGCAAATGATTTCTATGTCCAATCCAAATCGATGGATGAAGCTGAATTTGTATGTTGCAAACTCATGCAAATGTATAGGTTAAAAAAAAGTGTAAAAATACATAGAAAATGCAGTCAATATATCTGAGAAAAATTCAAGCACTATGTGAAAGAGACTGGTTTCATCTATAAAATAACAATTAAGTTAACATCACAATGAATTTTACCTGTATTCACCTCCCCATTAATAAAGTACGGTTCATGACGAACAAAAGAAAACATTAAGACTGTCTCATATAAGAAGTGCTATTGCTAATTTAAAATGTTGAAAGTTATAGGTATTTTGACAATAGATACATTAAACATAAATTATGTAAAAAAAAATGAGTGAATAATTATTCTTAGGATGGAAACCTAAATATTAATGTTATGCACGCAGGCCAGTAATTGTTGCTCTATTCAAATGAAAAGTACTGTCCTAGCAAACCAAATTCACCCCCTTCATTAACTATGTCACTAGATACACCTCATTTACTTTTCTGTCTAAAAGAACAGCTGATGTCTTTATTTCTAGAATGGTGTCTGGAAAATTTCAGTGGATTAAATCTGTTACTTCCAAAATATAAAAAAAGGCCCAGAAGAGTTCATTGAGTAAACTGAGTTTTTTCTATGACATGAAGCCCATATATGAAGGGATACAATAATGAATTCATCACTAATGCATCAGAAACTTGGAAAAATCTTAATTAAAAAAGCTTTTTTCCTAGATTTGTATCTTCTTAGCCATTTCTTATTAAGTTATAAGTCCTATTAGGAAATGTAGGAATGCTCCT